TAGATAGATAAAGATATAGGGGGCTAGGTACATAAAGTGTTCAAATACAAGATTAGAAGCTAGAACTTTGTGAAGTCACTCTCATTTCCACTGAATTTATATATCTTTAGAAATTTCTTCTAGGTTAGGTCCATGGCATCTAAAAAACCAAAACAAACTCACAGCCATTGAGTCGATTCCGACTCAAAGCGAGAACGCCTTGGGTTTCCAAGGCAGTATCTCTACAGAAGTCTTCCTTCCAAGGAGCGGCTGGTGGGTTTGAACCGCCAGCCTTCTGGTTAGCAGTCAAATGCCTTAGGCACTACGCCACCAGAGCTCCTAAAGCAAGGCTTAAATTCTTTCTTTCTTTTTTAACTTTTTTTGTGATTTGAGTGAAAGGCTTAAATTCTTATTGCATGACTTTAAATCTTAAAACATCTGAAATATGGGAATATTAAACTTTTTTTTGAACAATTAAAAATACTGAAATACTGTTTCCCTAATATGGAAGAACAAATTATTTTCATAAGGACTTTACAAATTCAGGGCGCCCTTTACACCTGATAAAATGAAAAGCCAATCCCTTTTTTAGAGTAGAAAGCACCTATGATTTATGGGTTAGCAGAGTGGAGGCTCTAAGAACCTGGCTTGTGAAAGCAAACATTGTGGTCTCAGCAAAAGCAACGTAAACATTTTTAAATGATTGGAACAATAGCCCATTTTATAGTTTTATTTATATTGCTTTTAACACTATAGTTTGCACAGGCAGTTACATAGGTTCAATAAGAAATATGATTTCTTATTAAAATTATCTTAATAGAAAAGCACAAATCCTAATTCTTCTGTGTAAGATGAGTGCTGGCTGTGTGAATAGCACCACCATGCATGTCATAGCTGATTTATGTGGTAAGACTGTAAATCAGGGAGGAAGAAATAGTAATACTGCTTATTTATTTTTCCTGAAATTCTAGCTTATTACTGCTATTTCCTAATTTTAGTCACCATTTGAGGAATTAAAGGAAAAACTTTATAGTATGTTGATTCTTGTTTAAAGCAGTAGTAGAAAGAAATTTTGTTTGCTTTTCTTGAGTTTATTTCTGAATGGCTATGTTTGCAGTATTTTGGACAGAAAATGGACTTCAGTGTGCTGATTCACTTCATGTATGTTCTCGGTACTCTTCCCCACAGTAGACTTGTGAAATCTGACAGTTCAGATTCTCTCCTTTCTCAAGCAAGTGGCAATAGGCGTCATCACCACCACGCAGTGACATCCAGAAGGCCGCCAGCAAAACGGTCGGTGTCGATGACTAGTCCATCGGTCCCAAATCCTAACATGGAAGCCACAGAAGTCATTACCAAGGCCAGATCCGGTCAAAAAAGTGTGACGGAATTAAAACCCTCAAGGCAAATTAAGGAGTCAAGATCACAGAAACACACACGGGTAAAGATCTGCCGTCATCTTTCTTTATTCTCTGTGGAAAGAGATTCTCTTACTGGTTTGCTTCAAAATGTATGCCTAGAAATTGTATGGGTGAAATGAGATCATATCTGGAATTTACTTTAAAATAATCCGGTGTAAAAAGAGATGGTGGGAGAGTGGGTGAGGAAATACATAAAACAAGATTAGACACGACTTGATCTTTGGTGAAACTAGTTAATAGATATATTCGGGATGGGAATTTGCTATATAATATCCTATTTACTGTTTTTGTTTGAAATTTTCCATATTAAAAATAAATACACCCCTGCAGATCCCAGCTGTGTGTAACTTTTACACTCAGATTTCTCTGTAGACGTCATGATTTGAATTCTGTCTTGACTCATTGCCTGCTAGCACATATTGTCATGTGACATGTGACCATGTCAATCTTTTCTTCGCAGTCCTCTTGTCTTAAGGAGCTTACCTTTCTTTAGCTCAACTAAATGATTGTGCATTTCACAGGATTGAGCTCTAAAGCTGAAATAATTTGTTTGTACCCTTTCCAAGAAATATTTGTCATATATTATGTTTTGTTCAAGGTATTGAAAGAAGTAGTTACTGAAACTCTGAAGAAACACAGCATTGCTGAGACCCATGAGTGCTTCACGGCCTGCAGCCAGCGTCTCTTTGAAATCTCCAAGTTCTATCTAAAGGTACAGCACCTTCTCTACTAAGGTCAAGGTTTTCTAATGTTCCTTCTTGACATAAAATACTATCTAGTGAGTATTTCTTATGCTGATAGCATAGAACTAGTTGCCAGATATATTTTTTTTATGAA